AAAATGCAAAATGCAGGCAGGAAAGTAACAAGGCAAGCGGCTCGGGCCTTTTTAACATATGCGGAAAAATTTGCAAGTTGGAAGGGCGACCTCACATCGACTCTGGGCTCCGTCATATTGGAGCAGCATGATTGGTCCAAGGCCGGCCAAGATCACTGACAGCTACTGACCCTGCCTTTTCAAACTGAAGCTGTAAAAGCAACTGGGATTTGCTGATGTGTAAATACAGTGGTTTCACTGTATTTGTAATGTAACCACATTGAAGATAAATGAAGATAAACCCCTGGAAGTAATTCACAAAAGCATGAAACAAGAACATTATTTAAAAACAAATGCACATTGTTTTTGGCCTCATACAATATGTATATATTAATACTTGAATGGAATCTGTTTGCCCATGAACAGTCACAGTAGCATTTATGAAATCTGTAAATGCTAGGATAGACTTGTAATCAATGAAATACAATATATCGATAATTGGTCACACCATAAGGCTGTTTTGAATAACAGGTTGTTAATAGTACAAAAGCAGCAGATCACAAGTACAGCTAAAGTTTCTGATATATCCAAAATACATATGTATTTATTTATTGAGTAAAATTAATCAGATTTGGCATTTGCAGTCACTTCAACTACACATGACAGTGTGATCTTTACGGGAAAATATTTCTGTAAAATTGCTTCTCTATTCTAAATGAAGGTCAACGTTTCACTTTTTCCAGTGTATATAGTTCAGGAAAGAGTCCTAAAACTGAGAAGTGAGTTTGCATTTTAACTCTTCAAGTTTCCTCTACTACTAAATCCATAAAAAAACATTGTGTTATATTGCTGTCCTGGATTTGAAGTGTGAAGGCCAGCTTAAAAATTCATCACATATTACTCAAATACTAACTTTTCCAAATAACACAATTCATGACTAGACTTTGGTTCTTGTTGTAAGTGGTTATGGCTAACATAACAGCTAATTACCATACACACATGCAGCCTTGGGGTGTAGTGTTTCCTGTGTGTGTGAGTGGATGTTGTTGTGTGTTTGTTGGTTTTAAGGGCCTGCTGCTGTCAGACGGAGGCCCGGCTGTGATTCATTGGTTATTACAGCAGCGCTGTAGCATGCACAAGCCATAGCTCAGCATCCGATTGCATTCATATACGTCACAACACACACATACACATGTCCTCATGCTCACTCATATGCATACACACACACACATTGAGCCTGCTGGCACACACACACACACACACACACACACACACACACACACACACACACACACACACACACACACACACACACACAGAGAGAGGAATTATTGTCTGATATAAAGGAAGAGAGGGGAGGTGGGGGCAACTTGGGGAAATTGATCTTTGGCTCAGAATATATCACCAATGGACTGCGTGGCATATTAATGCTGTCTGACTGGTTAGAGCAGGAAGGAGCAGACACAGCAGAGGGCAGGGGATCTCCATCACAAACACAGAGAGACGGGGGGGGGGGGAGATGGATGGAGAGCAGAGGCAGACGGAGCGGTTCTGTCCCTGAGCACTTACAGTGGAGCATGTTGTGTTTCTCTCTCCTGCCGCAGACAGGGAGGGCACTCATCCATAACGGAGCCTCTCAGAGGTGTGGAGGTGCTGGGAGGTGGGGCAGTACATTTGGAGTTTAACAGGACTCCTTTAAGGCATCTGTTTGAGTTCACAGCCCACAGGTTTCACTGGAATACACTCTATACTGCCCTTATTGTCTGCTATGATTGAGTATATATTTCTTGACTGTATGGTCAGATGCTTTAATTCATTTTGACCGTCGAGCGGTTTCAACAGCTAGCTAGTTATCAATAGAGTATGTGGACAGACATTGATGCTAATCCATAGCATGCATTTTCCAGTTTAGCTTTAAATGATGTATAAATGCATAGTATTGATGTGATCTGTTTGAACTCCTGATCGCTTGTATGGTGAAGTTGTGAACTTCACCATACTAAATGAAGAGGTTAATGGACAGTGAAGTGGATTAGGGATACCATAGTTACATGTTGGTAAGAAGCTAAACTAAGGTTAAAGGTCACATCATGGTAAATGCATGAAAATAACTGAATCTGTTTTACAAAACCAATTTGGGCTCATCCTATGAGCACAGAAAATAACTCTGAACACTTTTAATATAGTTATGAATTTTACACATTCACAGTTAACACTTAACACACTTGGCATGATTGTAACAAGATATTAATATCAGGCACATACATTGAAAAATGTCTTCATGCGACCTCTGTCCATGTCCATGTTAGATTATGAATTTTAGCAGGAGAAAATGAGGAGAATGGTTTTTCAGAATGTTTAACATCAAATCTAGCAGTTGAGTGTTTAAGCAGACTGCAGACGGTTAAAATACATTATTATTATTATTATTTTATTCAATAAATAGGAAGTCAATCAGGTGTTACATTTTGGGTATATGTTCTATTAAAGGGCCCATGTCATGGCCATTTCCACTGATCATAATTACATTGTTGAGGTATACTAAAATAGATTTATACTGTGCAATTTTCCAAACTCACATTGGTTTCGCATACAGCATCTCTGTCAAGCATGTGTATTCAGCAGTATTCACTTTCTCCACTAAACGACTCGTTGGAGCTCTTGCCCCCCCCTCCCTGTGAGCCTAGTGTGCTCCGATTGGTCAGCTCGGCCACTCTGTTCTGATTAGTCAACCACCAGAGAGGCTCCGCCCATGTCTAACAGTGCTTTTTTCGGCTCGCTCTCGGAACATCAGTCTTATAATGGCGTCGGTACAGCCGTATATTTTATACGCTAACTAACCGAACTGTACCTACAACTGTTGTTATAGAAGAGTAAGTTATTTTTACCTGTAATAAACTACTACTGTTTGATGAGAAATCAAATCATGGTTTGCTATATATGAATGATATGTTATAGGAGCAAATCATTCAGGGAAGAAAGGATAGGCCTACTAAGTATTTCCATCAAACTTTATTTTTAGAAATGTACAAAATGAACATAAATATACATATATACACGGTATATCATCCATTCCTCCCCGTTGTCGGCATCTTGCCTATCGCAGCCGGGGCTTTTTAGGACGAGGCCTCAGTGTGGTAGTCCCGTCCCCGTCATGTATTTTCCGCCAGGATCTGGCTGACATCAGGCCGTACCCGGAACTAAATGGAAGAATCAAATGGGCAGTGACGTATCTCCAACGAGGCGTTTTGGGGAGGTATTTTCTGTGTTAGAGTTTTACTCGCTACAGGGTGTACTTTGAGGGTTTTGACTCTGCAGACCGTTTACATTCATAAAAACCTTCATAACACACAAGGGGACGGGTAATAACCGGAAAAGCATGACATGGGCCCTTTAAAAGTATTTTTTCTATTTCTATTTTATCATTTATCTTGAATTATACTAAAGAGGGACTTGCTTGATTTAAAATCATGCGTGTGTGTGTGTGTGTGTGTGTGTGTGTGTGTGTGTGTGTGTGTGTGTGTGTGTGTGTGTGTGTGTGTGTGTGTGTGTGTGTGTGTGTGTGTGTGTGTGTGTGTGTGTGTGTGTGTGTGTGTGTGTGTGTGTGTGTGTGTGTGTGTGTGTGTGTGTGTGTGTGTGTGTGTCTAGGCCTTGCTCCCCTGTTGACTGAAGGTTGAACAGGGACCTTCAGCTGAACCAGCTCACATCCCATCATCATGCCACCCCGTGTCTGCAGGGGTGCTCCTGGTGTGTGTTCGTGTGTGTGTGTGTGTGTGTGTGTGTGTGTGTGTGTGTGTGTGTGGTGTGTGTGTGTGTGTGTGTGTGTGTGTGTGTGTGTGTGTGTGTGTGTGTGTGTGTGTGTGTGTGTGTGTGTGTGTGTGTGTGTGTGTGTGTGTGTGTGTGTGTGTGTGTGTGTGTGATGAAGGATGGCCTCAGGCTGAATCTGCCTCTCCAAACAATAAGGCCATCTGCTTTGTGTCCCTGCTGCCAAACTCTGAGCCGACCTCCACCTGCTCTCTGTTCCTCTTTACTGCCAGCTCACCTCCTTATCCCCCCCCCCTCCATCATTCCTAGTCCTGTATCCTTCTTTATATGTTCCTATATCATGTTAAGTTGTTCTTGTCTGAAGATAGCACATTCAAATTTGCAATACGAAATGTGATTGAGCGTTTTAATGAAAACTAGACTTGTTCTGATCATTAAAGAACTTTTCTTCATGATATAGAAACACAATCAATCTTTCCATTTGTAATTCTTGTCGTGTCAAAATGATCTTCCAGGTTATTATATTTGATGTAAAGTGGTGTGTGAGCTACATTATTGATTAAACTAAGACCATTACATTTTTTAAAAGACTTTGAGTCCTCCAACATTTACCTGCAAGGCACAAGAGTGGGAACATGCTTTCTATGTGTTATCTAAAAAGACATAGGAAAAGGTTTCTACACATAGTAACTGTTTAGAGTGAGTGATCAGCAATTCTTCTGAAAAATATATTTGATTTTAGAGTGACTGCACATTAAAATTCAATGTTATGTCTAAAACTGCTATTTAATCAAACGCATTGTCCCCAGGCATTATAATTAAACTGTGATCCGGGACAGTTTCACTCCAAACCATGCAGCATTCCCTTAGTGCGTATCAGACCACAAACACAGAGGGAGGAAGTGTGATCTATAATAATCACTAGTGTGTGTTGCCCTTTAGAAAGATATACATTTCAGGGACAGATCTTGTCTTCTTTTCTTTTATACATTTCATTGAAAATAGTGATCTGGAACCTTCCAAAACCACTCCAGACGCACCCTTTTAAAAAAAAAATACTTATCTACTTTTACTTGGAATTAACAACCTTTGAAATTTGAAAACTTCACATTTCTACATGAACTTAAGTAGAGGATTTCAGTCCTTCTTCCACCTCTGACGGCCATATTCTTTACATTTTGTGTGACTTTATGCATGAAAATGATGTAACTTAGTATAAAAAGTAACACATTGTGTGTGTTATGTGTGTCCCTCAGTGACAGGGTTCCCGTACCCCAGCACAGGAGCAGCTGTGGCCTACAGAGGTGCCCATTTGAGAGGGAGGGGTCGCGCCGTCTACAACACATTCCGTGCTGCACCCCCTCCTCCACCCATCCCTGCCTATGGAGCGTGAGTGACTGCTCACACACACACACACACACACACACACACACACACACACACACACACACACACACACACACACACACACACACACACAGTAACAGAAGAATGGTGAGAGGGAAAACAAAAAGGCTGCCTTCTAATAGAGCGGTAAATTGCTGTTTGATTCTAGAATGGCCAAATTTGTCTCTCTTTTTTCTAATGTGTCATTTTTTATTCGGCTGTGAATGGACTGCTGTGACCTGCTCGGCACACTCCAGTGGGCCCGCTGCAGGGGGGGCGAGAGACCTAGTGAAATGAGAGGGTCAGACATGAAGAGAGAGAAAGAGAATAAAGGAGCGTGCTGCGTTAGAAAGAATACGATGAGATGAAGAGGGGGAGGAAAGGCAGGAGGGTGAGGGAAGAGTAATGAATGAATGGTGCTGTTTGACCACATGGAGCTACTGAATTAGTCATTAATTGTGCTGATAATACATTTATTTTTTTATTTTATTCAGCTGTTTGTATTTTAAACTAAATCAAATGTTTCTTTAGGGTTAATGTTAGTGGTTAAGGGTAATTCATTGATTACAAAATGACTGGAAGTGCGTTGTGCTGCTTGGTTTCAATGTGATCTAGCTTCAAACTGAGCGATATGTAGATTGGTAGTTTCCGTCTAGAAGACGTAGTCAAAAACAAACTTCTCATACCGTTTCTATATTGATGTCTCCGGTATTTTTCTGAAAAGTAGAAATATTGCAAACTCAAAGCGCTCAAAGCGTGCACAAAAAAATGGCAGATTGCTCAGAAAAACGACGTTGAGTGCAGCGCTCCTTACTTCAATGCCTTACATTTGACATCTTCTGTCCACAGTATGGTCTACCAGGATGGCTTTTATGGTGCAGAAATATATGTAAGTAAAACAATTTTATAAGCATTTTTATTCATTCTTCACAAAGTTATTCACTATAACAAAACTGTTTGGTACTGAGTGTCCACATATGCTTTACCTTGTCGTATGTGCGCCTTCACTTTGGTGGATCTCATGCTTCTGATTCAAGGTGGTATTGAATCTGTTGTCTATCCTCAGGGCGGGTATGCAGCGTACAGATATGCCCAGCCAGCTGGTACTGCTGCAGCTGCGTACAGTGACAGGTATGTTGGCTGTTTACTTCTGAGTGTCACTAAGAAGTACTCTGTTTACATCTTCATAATTGTGACTAGTTGCATTTCAACATTACTTTTGAGGGTATCCCTTACCTCAGCTGCCTCAAAACCCTACCAGGAATGTATTGATCGGTGGATGGTCAGTTTAAAAACCTTCTCACGCACTAAAAGAAGGGAAACCCGACATTGAATGTTGTGACGTCTTGTAGAGAAACAACAGAGACTGAAAACTGTAAATGTTGTGTGTTAATAGCAGCAGTAGCTTCTTTAGATGTAATCTCTTTTTGAATGCAGTTTGATCTAATAGAAGCAGGTATAACACATATAATAGTCTGGTGCCAGAATGAGTCCTCAAACCCTCAAAGTTAGCATTTCCTTCTTTCAGTTCCCTTGACTTAAAGTCAACAGTTTTTTGAACATGTTTTTGGTTAAATTACTAAAATAAGGTCCGTGGTTAACACAAGCTTAAGAGATGTTTGTGTTATACATATATATATATATATATATATATATATATATATATATATATATATATTAGGGCTGTCAAGTTAACGCGTTAATAACGCGTTAACGCAAAAAAAAAATTAACGCCACTAATTATTTTAACGCGATTAACGCATGTGTATTTTTTGTCCTCGGCCGCCGTAGTTTCAGAGCGCATCGAGTTTAAAATACCATCGACAAGCTGATGCTGACAGCCCCGCTCCTGCCGCCCGCTTGTGGCAGACCACACTTCCACGCTCACTGGCAGGCCCGGACTGGCCATCGGGAGGACCGGGAGGGAGTGTGTATGTGTGGCGCGACTCGCGCGAGCGAGGCACACCTTACGTGTTGTTGTTAGCATCTGGTGCTAGCTAGCTGCGCTAACGGATATAAGGAGCTGTTTCAATGACATTTCGCCGACAACTGCGCCGAGCACTTGACTTTATGCAGGTAGCCAGACAGTGGGACATTGTACGAAAAGTCAGCGCAACATTATTGCAGCGTCCAGGCAGCTCCCATTCGAGCATATATGCCTTGAGCTGCACACAGCTCAACGATCCATCACAGTGTCTCCACACACACACACACACACACACACACACACACACACACACACACACACACACACACACACACACACACACACACTGTATTGTATGAGAGAGGTTCCAGGTTGAATTGAGGCGAATATTTGTAATGTTCAGGTTGTTGTGTTTAATATTCATGAGAATATTTGTCATTGTTCAAATGATAATAAACAAACATATAAAGCATATTTGTCCACTCATATGTTGATAAGAGTATTAAAAACTTGAAAGATATCCCTCTAAGGTACATTTAGAACAGATAAAAAATGTGCGATTAATTTGCGATTAATCGCGATTAACTATGGACTATCATGCGATTAATCGCGATTAAATATTTTAATCGACTGACAGCCCTAATATATATATATATATACAACATAATAACAATACATCAGTGAATACCCCACTGGTGAACATCTTTTTTTCTTCTGCCGTTTTGAAAGAATTGTATCCTATTTTGGAGAAGGTACTCTCCCAACATGACACATGACGAACCATGAGTGACATAACTGTACGGAGAATTGCCAAACTGGCCATTGCAGCAGCGGCAACAAATAATTCAAAAACACTGTTAGCCGTGTAAACAGCACACAGCACAAAGAAAAGTGAAGGAAAGCACGGAGAAAGGGCCCACAGTGAAGTCCAGGAGTTCACTTTGTTATGATCCCAAATCCACTGAGCCAAAGAACAAGTGAGAGCTGCTGCAGCTAATGCAAGCTCAAAAACAACCATAGTGGTTCTTTTGGGTGCTCCCCAGTCGGCAGATAGGGAGTACCCATGACAGATTGGTCATATAAACGCCTATTTCCAATCTGTACATTACATGTCAACAAGCTGATGTTTTTCAATACACCACAGCACCACAGACATGCCCACCAGAGAAATTAGGGTTAGGTTAGGTATCTTGACCACGGACATGTTGACTTCAGTGGCTTGAACCACTGACCCTCTAATTGGTAGATGCCCATTTACCTCCTGAGCCACAGCCGCCTGTAAACAGCCCAATAACCTCCACAGAGACTCACCTGTAGAATAGTACTTGTAAACAGAACGGGAAACTTGATCCACTCCATCTTTGGATTATCATTCCCCTCAGAGCTAAATGTTTCTCCCTCACCTCTGATCGCTTACAGAGCCTGTAAGGATGACTTTGCAAAGTGTAACATTTACAGAGAAGACATAAGCTGCAATTTACACTACTTTTATGTATTTTGTATGTATGCATTTTATAAATGAACAAGGCAGGGGGATAACTTCTTCCTTAATAGTTCACACTTGAATGTGTATGCTGGTGTGTCAGTTCAATGTCAAATCATTTCTACATCTTGACAAGTTGTTTGGATCATAAAGTGAAATACTACATTGTTCGGTTTCAGATAACAGTGACTTAATATTTATGTAGATACACTGCGATATGTAAGTTGTAATGATAAACCGAGGCATTGAAATGGCACAGATCTTTCTTAAGAAATGTCAGGTTTTTTATAATGTTTTGTAAAAAGATAGTTCATTAAATGTGAACATTTTCAGAATGTACTTTTTTGCACTAAAAGAAAGGGAACAACTTGGAATTGTTGTTATTTATATGTTATTATGCTATGATTGTAATGGTCCTGCCCTCCTGAGATCAGATTTGGCTGTATGTGGCCCCTGAGCTAAACTGAGTTTGAGAACCCTGTTCTAGTGTGTTTGCCATCTAGATGTGTGTGTATGCTTGGAGAGCTAATCTTAGGGAGATTGAGCATGTCAGACCTGATAAGAAACAGCCACAGCGGTAGCCTGTAGGCCTCCGACAATGTAAGATTTATCAGAGGCAAGGAGCAAGCGATGTGCTCGGGAGGATTATGAACGCAGCGGAGAAGAGGTGAGAGGGCACGTCTCTCAACAAGACCTATTTAATTCCCTTTCTTTCCTCCTCTCACACATTCCCTCCTTCTCACTCTTACCGTTATTCATACTCTCGTTGTGGCTGATGTTTAGAATAACTCTCCCCGCTGTGTCTCTCTCATTCTTTTTTTTATAAGCCCTCCTGATTTAAAGGGAAGCCCAGGCAGAGAGGTGGAGTTCAGAGCAGAGGGGGCAGAGGCTGGTGGAGGTGGAGGAGTTATATTTATTGGGGGATAAGAGAGGTTTTGTAGGGAGTGCAGGGGCTTTGTGAAAGACTTTGCCTCTAGACTGTCCCTTTAGACACACACAGGCTACCACTGTCTACATTTAAAGGTACGAGTAAGCAAAAAAGGCAACCAGGACTGATTATTATTATTATTATTTTCAATCAAAAATACGAAATACTATTCCAGGGACTGTGAAACAAGAACTGCTTTTACCTTTTGACTTTTCATGGTATGGATAAAATCCTAGAAATTGAAACTGAAACCCTTAAATAAAAGTGTCTCCATGGGTGTGGGTGTTAAAGGTCAATGCTAATGATATTTGTTCACACCAGGAAGAAGTGATCGTGCTAAAGTTGGCTAGCATAGTGGTTTGACAGTTGCACCATATACAAATGAAATAAATACATGTATATAAGCATAAGTTTAAGTTTAAAAATTGCAATAAAGCTCCTTGTAGCCACAGGGACAAAGCGTCTGAGGCTCAGGAATGAGGCAGGAGGTTTTCCACAGCAAAGGGACCCTCACATGCTGAAGTAATGGTGAAGCATCGATGCAATCCTTGTCGAGCCAAACACTCCTGAAGCCATCAAAAGAAATGTAGCTGATGGAAACGTTGTCGGAACAATCCGGAAGCCATTGATGGATACGTTGTTGTCAGATATATCCTGGATTCAGCCATGTTTCCATAAACCAAATAAACTACATTCCAGATATTTCGTCTGAGCTAACCCCGTTAGCTTCTCCATTATTAGCTTACGTTGCCCATGATGACAGGGCGAAGACACCGAATATATCTCCTTTTCTCGATACATTTGGTCCCAGCTAGGCCTGTCACGATAATTAATTTTGTTGGACGATAAATGTTCCTGGAAATTATTGCGATAAACGATAATATTGTCGGCACTGTTGGATGACCATTTTAGACCACTGACATGATGATAATATATAATAATAATTCAAGTACATCCTTTCAAACATAACTTTTTATTGAACATTCAACATGGCAAATGAAATGTGAAATAATGTTAAAATATATAAATGATATATAATAAATAAAACAAATTAATTAAATTATAATAAATTAATTAAATCACACACAACCAAAACAATAAATTAAATAGACTCAGGCTGGAAAACAGAGCTCTCTCTCTCAATCTATCTATCTATATCTATATATATATATATATATAAATAAATAAATAAATATGAGCACACATTGTCTCACAAGAAAAAAAACCTCCTTAAAACAACAGTCAAGTGTACAGTCCACTGTCCATACAAAGACCCAGATGCCTCAACAGGCCATATCCAAATCTGTTTTTCAAAGTTTTCGAGCAAGGAACACCAACATGTTTGCATTGTCGGGCAAATGCATCTTTGATTGTAAACTGTCGGGAAGGTGGGGGCTCTCCATCTCCAGCTGCCGTGTTTGCTACCAGCTGGGAAAACGGAATGGGGTGGTTGTGTTTTAGGTGTAGTTTAAAATGTGTGGTATTGCCTGCTTTTGTCGCTACCTTTTTTAAACAAATGCGACACACCGCCCGGCTCATTCAAGTCCGTAGGTTCGCCTCGTTGATTTGGCTTAAATCCAAAATACTGCCACACCGGAGAATCGAGATGTGTAGTTAGGTTTTGTAACCAATTCCATTTCACTTTAAATTCCCCGTGACTATGTCACACGTTGTCTCCCGCTTGTCGCTATATTATTAATTTGGCTGCTACGCTGCTGCACGTGCACACGGAGTGTCCTGACCTGGCTGTGTGTCAGCCCCGCCCCTCACAGCGCGCGTGGCCGGTAGCCACAGCGCGCCTGGCAGCCACAGCGCTCCTAGCTAAAATGCTGGTCACATCCTTATGTAAACGGCAATTTATCGAGCTCAGAAAAGTTATCGAGTCCATTTGTATTTATCGTACAATAGTCAATTTAACGATTATCGCGACAGGCCTAGTCCCAGCTTTCCTCTTCGTCTCTTTGGTTTATCCCTGATTTCAGTGTGGATAGCCGATGTTCCGACCACCATGCTAGCCACCTTTAGCACAATCGCTACAAATCGCTACAAAGCAACACATAGTACTAGCTTTGAACACTCACACCCATGGAGACAGTATTCTTTTAGGGTTTCAATTTCTAGGATTTTATCCATACTTTGAAAAGTCAAACGTAATAGCAGTTCTTGTTTCACAGTCCCTGAATATGTCATTGTTCTATGACTTCTAAGCAGCTTTATGGACATGTGTTTGTGTTTATTTAGGGAAATATGTTGTACTATTTCCACAGAAAGAGTGAGTTGCACTGATTGAACAGATTGAACCTAGACTAATCCAGAAATGATAGCAACTGATCATTGATGGAAATATATTTTGCAGCCGTTAACTTCCTTCCTTCCTCCTTCCATTTACGCCCAGCTTCCATCCTTCCCTTGGTTCTTCCTCTGTAACACATGGTGGTGCATCCCCGCAGCCTCTTATCTTTGCCCTCCAGACCTACGTTGGCTTCCCTTTTTCTTTTAGAGGAGAATAAACAAACCAGACAGAAATAGAGGAATATAAATAAAGCAGTCTGGTGGCATCAGAGAAGGAGGGATGGAGAGTTGGAATGAGAAAAAGAGAGGGACGTGGAGGATTAGTTCCAAGCCAGTGCTGGTGAAAAGACTGGAAATAAGCCCCAAGAGACAAAAAGAGAGACAAATGCAGAGATGGCAGTTAGAGGGGAGGAAGAGGTGAAGAAGAAGATGGCACAAGGGGAAAAGGTGTGGGACACCAACAGAGAGAAGAACTGGCTCTCACCATAATGATGTTCTTCTTTTTTTGTCCCCTACCTTTCCCTTCAAAAATATTTCCGTCTTCACAAACCCATATATGTTTCCCCGATCCCAAAGGATGATTTTTCTAATTTTTCTCCTTGTTAATAATCGTATTGCTCCCCCCGCTCAGCCATCTATCTGCCCAATTCTTTTTTCTTATCTTTCTCTTTTTCTTATTCGGGCTGATGTTACTTTTATCGCAATCCCTCCCCATCATCTGGAAGATAAAACACTTGTCCCCTTTTTCTCATAAATTGAAACGGGTAAAACAAATCATTGCAATCACACACTCTCACCTTTACAACGTACATTTATAGGGAGACATCGATTGCATTTTCATCCAATAGGCCTGTTCTTAGCGTGAGTGAGAGGAGGAAATGATTATAGATCTCTCCTCCGGACCCCAGTTAAAATCGACGACCTAATACCTTATGTGTCTCATGCATACTCATTGTGGCCGGTTGGCACTCCCTATCCATTATCAGGCCTATTCCATCAAAGCCAACATGCACAAGGTTTATGTCTGGTGGTTGGAGTTGGGGAAAGGGGAAACAATTAACAGAGTATTTCCCAACTGATTAAATTCTCCTTTGATTTGTACTGGTTCAAATAATCTATATAGTTTTATGTTTGGGGCATAAGTCAAAATGTCACTCTGATCATAAATCTGCTGCTCTAACTAACTCCATAGCTGCCAAGCTGTCTGTATCTGTTGGGAGTTATTCACATAATTAAATAAAGTTAGGAATAACATTTAGATCTAAATTTAAAGGGGTATGTAGTGTCTCTCCTGGGGCATGTCTCCATGCTTTCATGTTCAAAAAGATCTTTATTTTTCTCATACTGCCTGTGCTGCAGCACCTCTTTTCACCCTCTGTCTGAAACCAGAGCCCAGTCTGCTCTGATTGGTTAGCTGGCCGGCTCTGTTGTGATTGGTCAACAGCTTAGAGATGTCCCACCCCTTAGCCTATCATGTTCAATGTATTGGAGCGCTAGCCAATAGAAGTGCATAGTGATGTCACCATGTTACAGAAGTAAACAAAGGAGTCCAATGGAGGCGTTTCAAGCAGGGGGGGGGAGACTCAGGGATGTTAGCCTAGCAGATCATTTACATGCACAAAAACCTAAAGAACACACTACAGGAAAAGAAAACCCCAAAAGCATAATAGGGCCTCTTTCAAGTTTTAAAATACAATTAAAACTAATTGTGTTTTGAATGTAAACCCTCCACCTGGAACCATACTTAGAACTGTATCACCACATATCATTGGTGTTGGATGCATTGATCTATTACCTTTATACATTTGTTTTAACGATTCCTTGGTGCACCATTCTTTATACAAATACCGTATGTAAGATTTGTATGAGAAGTCTGCTGTTTGCTGCTGTGGTTACCTTAAGGATACTTAAAGGTTACAAGAAACCTACAAGATGTAAAGATAGCAGGAGAGTCAGGGGTGCTGTAGGAGCCCACAACCCAAATCTGCCCAACGGCCCTCTTTCAAGCTGATCCACCCATGCCTTCATATTGTAGCAAATGGACTTTGAGACAAGACATTGGGGCAAAGGTTTTGTTTGTGTGTGTTGTTGCACAGTTTCTAACATGTTGCCCCTTTCTGAGTGAGTTATTCGACTCAAACATTATGCAATTCCCATACAGACAATGATGTTTGAAATATATCCGTGAATGGTGATTATTTACATTTGTCTGTCAAACATCACAAAGTGTATAACTAATTCTCATGGTGAACCCTTTTTCTGCATGTTTTCTTCTTTGTAGTTATGGCAGAGTCTATGCAACAGCAGACCCATATCACCATACGATTGGTCCTGCAGCTACCTACAGTGTGGGGACTATGGTGAGTGTTTCCTGTTTCTTAGCCGCTGACTGTCCGACTAATGTGCAATACTGAATGTGGTGTGATGAACTGGAGCTTTGTCAGCATCCAGTACCTTGCAAATGGATGTTTAACTTTACAGGAGACACATTTTACATGAAAATAAAAATGTTCTGGTCCATATATGTGAGCTACTGAACTAAATGAACTGCTAATTGTAAATTAATAACTTAAATCAGATCATCTGCTGACGCTATTATATTGTATAGGTTTTTTGTACGCTTTGTTTTTCCTATGTGTTGTGTCTCCTCTGAGAGACCCATTTTAATAATGTTTAATGTGAATCTTTGCCACTTCAGTGAATGAAAAAGGGGATATTGCCTTATTCTCAAACTCCCCATCCAATTGTATTGGCTGTAAGCTACTTGCTTGAAATCCAATTGAGACTGAGAGTTCCTCCCAAAACAGAAACAAAAAACAGTCTCTTCAAATTTTGCAAAGGGAGATGGTTGAATAGTTAATGTTTGTTTTTAGCTAGCTTTGCAGCTAACATCAAAGATGAAAACTGAAAGTACAATTTGTTTTATTTCGTGGGTGTGGGTAGGGATTTCCTCCAAAGATTAACGACCATCCAGTAAATGCTTCGACGTGCCACGGGAGATTAAAGTAGGAGAGAGGGATAGATCACAAATGAAGGGAAAGAGAGGGAGAATGAGAGTTCTTGGTAGCAAACCAATTGCATCTGAAGCTGCTGCTTGGTGCAGAATGTTGGACGGATGAGATAAGGGTTGATGCTAAGTGCTGACGTGCTTGTGATGATGGAAGTGGAAAGCCCTACCATGTCCCCCATGTGTAACCGAAACAACCCCCCCCCCCCTTAGAGCAGCTGCTAGCTAAAAGCCTTCATTAATTACGACATTTTTTCCTCTTCATTTACTTAATTAAAACAGTGGCCTCTGCTTTCCTCCTTATTACATTTGATTCTCTTTTCTCTTCAAATGACTCCTCCCTTTTTCACCCTCCTCCTATAGCCAATCTTCTCACTATTAATGTTTTCCTAATATTCAATGTATCTTAAACTTTATGATGGGGCACATTGTGAACTGTAGCCTCAAACAAAACCTTATGAGACCAAATGTGTCAGGTGTAGTTATGATTCTAAGGTAGAATGATGGGTTGGATGAGTAAGCTATTGTTCCCCAAACGTCTTTTGAGGGGAATTTCTTTAATCAAAATGAATCCACACCATCTTGCCTTGTGTGGTTTGGTCTAAAAACCTTCTACATGAAGGGAAACAAGTTGGTACAGTATAGAGTTTCAGATGTATGCAGGATACAATATTATGGGATGGAGTTGCCTGACTCCTGTGGAAATATGTAAGGAAACTGGTTGCAGGCTTTGTGGACAAGGCTGAGTTATAAATACTGGAGTTGGTGTAGGTGTGATGCTACAGATGGGTGTGATTTACCGGAGTGGATTTTTTCATAAAAGGCTATTGTTGATACGAATGAGGTGGCAGGCATTTTTAACACAGTGTTATCAAGGGTCAAGTATCGTACAAATCTACAACAATTACACATCAGAGGATATGTTGTTCTTGATATATCACACATATGTTTCCAATGCAGACTCAGAGTGGGTGGATTTGTCAAACTAATATTTAGCATAATAAACATACATATTTTTAATCAGATCAGCATCCGTTTAACCAAACCAAGTCATTTTGTGCCAATTACCTTGAAACGTTTTTGAGAATGCAGTTTTGTTGAATGGAAACGTCATTCTTAGGAGACAGGGATGGGATAACACACCTGAACCTCTTAAAATCTTTATTTTCTAACTGTCAAATCGACAATACGGCAATGTTATGACAATATTTAACATGAGTATAATGCTAGATATGTGGGGTACTATTTTAATCGTACCTTTTCATCATACCTGGATATTGTGGATTGTAGGATATTTTAGTTTTGCGTATTGGATGTTGTCATTGAATATGATCTGAGGTTGGAAGAATCGTCAAATATGTACGTCCTTATATGGCAAGAGGTTTGGTCTGAACAGAGCCTCAATAGAGAGTGTTCCAGACACAGTTTTATTTACAGTAAAGCCAGGACGGTTTGAATGCAAAGTGTTGAGAGCATTGTTTGTTGTAATTATTTGGTTGTGGATTCACTGGAGAGCTTGTTGTATGGCAAATGTGTGGCAGGCTTAATTCCAAGTAGCAGTTTTAGGGTAGCTAATGTTTCATTCAAACATTATTAGAATGGCAAAAAAGCTGAACGTTTTGCAGACATGCCCTGCAGTACCACTGTCAGAAATGACTACTTTCAAAATCTAGCTTGTAATGTTTCCTGGCCAATGTATTAATTAAACAAAAAACGATTGGAAAAAGGGAGGAACGTTTCTTTGGAGGAAAGAGAGAAGTTAATTTTTAATAATAGTATTACAAAGGTTCTACATTGAATACTGATTGGAGCTTTTTCATCTTTGATGTTGCAGGCTAGCCTTTACAGAGGAGGGTGCAGTCGCTTCACTCCCTACTAGAAAGAGAGAGACACGCCCCATTTGCTCTCCCGCAAAACAGACACTCAAAAAACAGCAACAAATGAAATGACTAAATGATCATCTTCACTCTCTTCATGGAAAAAAAAAAAATGCTTCCAGGTGACAAATGTGACCATGAACTGCAAATCACTCTCAAGTTGCTTCCCTATTTTCAGAGTGTCTCATTGTCATTTATTGATGTAATGTACCTTTTTTTTTTAAAGAAGATTTTGTTACTCTTTTGTTTTGACTTGAATGTATTTGCATTGACATGTCTGTATAGTGTTCAAATAGACAACAAATGTCAATGTAGACAAAATGGGAATTTAAATAGGAACACTGTAGTCTCGCTCCTTCTCACTCTTTGGACCACAACTCTCTTAGGGGTGGCTTTTTGTGCTTGTTTTAATTCCATCCTATTTCCCTACCTTCATTGTTTCAATAACTCATTTCAATAACTCATTTTCCCCATATAGTTTGCCAGCTCAGAGTTCTAGAACCCGGAAGTGTTGAGTACCTCAACATTTTATGTTAGAAATGTAAAGTACAGGTCCCCAGCATGTAGAAACTGCCGAATGCTAACATGCATATGTTAAGCAATTTGCACAATCGGCATAAGTTGCCTTAATTAGCATTAATTAGCATTTTAGCCAATGTGGACAATAGTTAAAAATGGCTTGGCCGATTTGGAACATTTTTGAGAGGTTACTGAGGATGCTTGATGCAATTTTGACATTTTCAGAATCAACATTGGCGGTTTGAACCAGAAAGTGGCCATATTTGTACTGCTGATGGACTGATTTTGATACATTTTGGGTCGATTTGAAAGTTTTAGGGGATCATTTGGATTGGACAGATTGCTTATCTATTTAAAAATAAATTGCCGACAGTAGAGGTAATCAATTTCATTTTGAGCTCTTTATATCCAATGGTCGCAACATTAATGGTAGTCAAAATCAGCCTGATAATGGAAAAGCAGCATCCTCAATAACCCCCAAAACCACTCCGAAATTGTCCAAATCTGCCAAGCCATTTTTTAACTATTGTCCATGTGGGCTGTAACGCTAATTAATGCTAGTTAACTCAACGTATGCTACTTGTGCAAATTGCTCAACATTATGCAAGTTATCATCCGGCAGTTTCAATGTGCTGGGGACCCGTACTGTACATTTCTAACATAAAGCTTTGGGCTACTCAACATTTCTGGGTTCACAGTGATGGCAACTAGAATGATATACAATACAATGTTCAGCAATTCCAGTTTGGACAACACATGGCACATTGGATTTATTAAATAAATGATACAGCCATTCCACCCTTTAGAGAACTGGCTCAATTCTAAGTGAGCCAATAGAGCTGATTTTCAGCCTGAACCAATGGGACTCACACCTAAAGGTGAAACTGCTACCAGGAAGTGATGCATTTTATAACCTAGAAGGTGAGAGGAGGAGCGTGATGTATTACCGAATCTGAATGCATGAGGAAGTGATGTATAGCAGGGTGTGATGCAAGAGCTATGGCAGCCATTTTCAGAATAGGCAGCCGTGTGAGCCCATTGATCGTTGGCATAGTGCCAGAGGCAGGAGGTATCCCATTACTGCTGAAAAGCTTTATAGGAGAAAACGACATTATTTTCTCACTCTCATCACGTCCAGCACATACCAAGCAATAATCCTTTATTTGATCTATACCCATATATGGAGGAATACATACATCGTTTTGACTCCATAGTGAACAGATGGAAGACTATGTGAGAATTTAGTTTTAAAAAGACATCTCAATACCATGATCATAATAATACTACATGTATTGCATGGTGACCATTGGAGTGCAGAACAATATAAAGTATACTAAAGGATGTCGCTAACACGTTTACCAGGCTAACTTGTTAGCCATAACAATTGTCTACACAAACACCCACAAAACAGAGAAACACAATATTATTCATTTGTCATTTGTGTCCACCTCGTGAAAAAAAGTCAGACTTTCCCACTCCTTTTAGCTCTGTTTGGTCTACAATAGGCTGATGACTGAATTGCATTTTGTTTTACCCTATTTGTCCAGTTAGCTACTTTCTTGGCATCAAACCAGCATAGCTAATAATAACTTTTGAACCCAGTGATATCCAACGTTAGCGAAAATCTAAACGTGTCACCCTAATTAAAATTAAAACAATTTGATTCTTGCAATTGAATCAATTTGACCGATTCAATTCAGCAGATTCTGATTCAGATACAATACGTTTTACCATTTTACTATTACTATCACTTTCTCAACATCTATGTTTACCAGATCATGAAATACCTCTGAAAACTAAACACATGTTGAGTATAAAACAGATACATCTTCATCGTCTACTGTTCGATTAGAGGCAAAAGTTAAAGCAAAGATAAGTTATAAGTTATCGGGCGTCTATATCGATATAAGTTTTCTTTTTATATAAATATTAAGTAAGCTTTACACATTTCTTTGGA